AGTGACATGTACTGCCACCTGCAACTGAAAGAGAAATCAATCAGTGTTTAAAATTGCTGTTCTATAAAAAAAGAAAGGTGAAAAAAAGTTGTGTGTTTGTGTCTGTTGAAACGGTACATGACCCAGAATGTATGAGTCTCGATAGTCATTTAAAGACAAACCAAATATGACTTATTTGACTCCATGAGGCTTTTCTACACCAGGATTTTCTGTCCAGAAAGGTCCTGAATGATCAATGACTCGTGTACATAAAGGAGACGGCTCATGTGGCATTTCTGATGTGAAGAGTGATCGTGCAGATGGAAGATGACTAAACTCTTGAAATATTTAAGTCTGTCACTTGGTAGAAATCCACAAGAAGTTGGGAAATGACCCATTTATTTTCCATCGCTACACCTGCTGACATAATCCACTGGAGTCTGTAATATGAAGAGTCAGATGTAGGACACAATGGGGCAGTTTTCCAGACAGAGATTAAGCCTAGTCCTAAACTAAAATGGCCCTGTAAACTAGATTAACAGAAATCTGCTTTCTGTCATGGTTTTAAATAGTCTTCGACTTAATCTAGTCCAGAATTTAATGATTTCCTGAAGGAAGACTAGAGCTACTTCAGGACTAAATTGAGGCTTAAATTAAACCTACCAGGAGGCAGGTTTAACTTCAGATTAACATTGTTTTCAGTCTTTATATTGAATAAATATGATCAACGAAAAAATGAAACCCTCACAAAACCCTAAAAGTAAAATGCTAGGGAAGGGAAATCTCATTATGAAAGAAATGTTTTTCTCTAATACACACTTGCTACATTTAATGGCACCCTTTTATTTAATACTTTTACTTCATTTAATACTCTTCTTCTATAATGCCTGATGAGTTTGGAGAACACCTGGCAAGAGACCATTATACTATACATTATCTATCCAGATCCTTAAGTTTCCCAGGTCCATGTTGATACACTCTCCTCTTGCTTTATCTATAGGGTTCAGACCAGAGGACTGGGATGACCATGGCAGAACCTTCATTTTGTGCTCAGTGGCCCATTTTTTGTGTTGATTTTGATGGTCTTTTTAGATCATTGTCCTGATGGAAGATCCAAACAAGGCCCATTATATGATTTCTAGCAGAGTCAATTTATGTGTTTGCTAGAATCCATGATGCCATCTCTCTGAACAAGATGTCCGAATAGGCCAACAACATTAAAGATACAGCAGTATATTTCATTGTACACATGGAGTACTTTTTATCCTTGTGTGGGGATATGCTTGGTTCATTCCATGTTTTATAGGCAATTTCTGCCATGCTAATTCTGGTTTTAAATTAATCTAGTTTATTTTAGTTCAGGACCCCATAGTCCAGGAGTTATTCATCTGTATTTAATGTGTTTCAAAAAGCCATTTTTAAAGCCATGATTAACTATCCTAGATTAAGCCTATACTCCAGACTTCATTTAAACCCTGTCTGGGAAACCGCCCCTAAGTTTATCATTTAGGTGTTGAGTTATAATGCATAATCTAATTAAATAGGAAACCACAGCACTTAAGTGTTGGTCTCTTAAGTGATTGTTGTACAAAGATGTAATACCGATTATCCAGATTGCACAAGTCTGGGCTGGTCTGTCTTTATCTGCAGTGCCATCTGCTGGATCATGCTGGTGAGGTGTCAGTTGTAGTTGAGGTTAGAGAATAATGACAAGTTAGAATAGCATTGAACTGCAGTCGTCTGCCACCTGATTTTCTATTGTTAAATTTGAATGATGTTCTTCAGAGAGTAACATCAGCTGTCAATCTTCAATAGACCCATTTTATTTCAATAGACCCAATTGATGTTGATAAATTGTATGAACAAGAAATGTACGAATATATATATATATATATACACACACACACACACTGCCGTTCAAAACTTGGCATCAGTAAGATTTGTAATGTTTAAGAAGTCTCTTAAATGCTCATCTGCATTTATTTTATCAAAAATACAGGGAAAATACAGTAACATTGTGAAATAGCATTACAAATTAAAATAATTGTTTTCTATTTTAATATACTTTAAAATGTAATTTATTCCTGTGATGCAAAGCTGACTCCAGTCTCATCATTCTAATATGCTGATTTACTATCAATATTGAAACAGTTTTGCTGCTTAATATTTTTTGGGGAAACTGCTTTTTTCAGGATACTTTGATGAATAAAAAGTTAAAAAGAACAGCATTTATTCGAAATAGAAATCTTTAGTAACAATATACACTACCTTTCAAAGGTTTGGGGTCAGTCATTTTATTTTATTTTTTTAAAGAAATGAATGCTTTTACTCAGCAGGGTGTGTGAAATTGATAAAAAGTGATAATAAAGACTTATATTGTTTGAAAAGATTTCTATTTTAAATAAATGCTGTTCTGTTTAATTCAAATTCATCAAATAATCTCGAAAAAAAAGTATCACAGGTTCCAAACAAATATTAAGCAGCACAACTGTTTCAATATTGATAATAAATCAGCATACTAGAATGATTTCTGAAGGATCATGTGACACTGAAGACTGGAGTAATGGTGATGAAAAATCAGCGTTGCATCACAGGAATAAATTATATTTTAAAGAAAATTAAAATAGAAAACCATTATATTAAATGGTAATAATATTTTACAATATTACTGTTTTTTTCTGTATTTTTGGTCAAATAAATGCAGCTATATGAACAGAAGAGACTTCGTTAAAACACATAAAAAATCTTACTGATCCCAAACTTTTGAACAGCAGCAATTTAATACAAAATAAATAAATAAATCATCACTTTGAAGACTTGTCTTAATTTATCCATATGTAAAATACAATTATTCAACTGATTTACACTGTTAGGAACTTGAAATGTTAACTATCTGGTGGCCTAAACAAACTGCATGCAGTTTATGTTTTTTACAGTCTGTGCTTATAACGTAAACGTTACATAATAGCCCCAAATGTCATCAAACAGTGTCACAAAAGAAAGTACCAAAAACGAATACAAAAAAAGACCAAAAAACGTTTAAATAGAAATGTAAACACTAAGAGCTGTTAGATTTAGTCAACACGCAAATGATGAAAAATCGGTAAACTCACTGAACTACAGTATAGTGCACCTTCGCTGGTTTTAAGTGGGAGCGCTTTGTCGATGTGTGGCGTGAGTGCGTGCGTGCGTGCGTGCGTGGGCGTGGCTGCGTAGCTGGCGTGCAGTGACGTGTCCGCGACCGTTGGCTGCAGCGAGAAGTGAGCAAGCGCTAAATTCAAAATTCAAAACAGCTGAGGAGCGTGTGGCGTCTGGCGACAGAGAGAGAGAGAGCGGAGAGACTTTTACTCCCTCATCAGACAAATAAAGAAGAAAGACAAAGAGGATTGTGCTTTCATTTAAGTCTATATCAGGATGGACCCGTTCACGGAGGTGAGTGCCCTTTATGGCAGCTTATTTAGTAGTTAGTTAATCAGGGAGGTGTTGAAATAAACTAGCGCTGGTCCACTGCACCAACGGCTATTACCTTTAGATAGCATTATGATTATAATATTAAAGCATTATAAGATAGCACTAATTAACTTATTGTTTTACGTATTAGCTTATAAAATCTCGATTTGCAGTTTTTATTGACATTTTAACGTTTGTGTAAAGCTAATTTTTCTCTACTTGATCATAATCTAGCATATAACGTTTGCAAAGCCAGCATTACTTTGACTAGATTTCAGCAGAATTTAAACAAACTGTTGCTGAATATGTGTTATATGACATGTATATGTTCTTCTTCTTTTTATTGTTTTTGGGGCCAGTCATACTTGCCTTTTAAAAATGTATTCTGTTATGTTTGTGTGATTTTTAAAATTTCTTAACATCTTATTGTTATCTGTTTTGTATTTCTATATCTACAGCACTTAACTGACTGTAAATATCAGTGGTGCCCATTGTTTTTTTTTTTAAACGTTTTTGTGTCAAAATGCAAAGTGGGCTCTGAATAAGGAGTGTACTTTCAGTAAGCTGTCAGGGCTGTTCCCATATCTTGTGGCTGGTCAGGAAGCCTGGTTTGTCTGTAGCCAATGGGATTCATCTGCTGGGTCACATGACAAAATTCCATGGACATGAAATCCTCACTAACTGAAATTTCCACTCATTCCCTGGGAGGCGGCCAACCAACAGCCACACTGCAGGAATGTGTTTGGTCTTGCTCAGTAACAAGGCTGTTAATCATGAGTGTGGGATGCTCTGCTAGAATGAGCCACTGGTTTGTTCACACTCAGAAGATGAGCCGTGCTGATAAATGGGGCCCATGCATGCAAAAAGGAACTGAAACATTGTGTTTTAAGAGATCTGTTTCTCTTTAGGCCTTAGTAATGTAATGAGCACTTTGCAATGCTAATTTGTCATTTTGCTCACTCAGAAACTGTTAGAACGCACACGTGCTCGTAGAGAAAATCTGCAGAGGAAGATGGCGGAGAGACCAACAGCGGCCAACCGTCCAATGGCTAAAAGGACAAGAGAGCCACTTACAGACACAAACAGTGTCATAAGTGAGCCGACCATTGAAAAAGGTTCGGTTTTGTTGAAATGTTATTTTGTTGCATGCCTGTATTGACATATGAACATTAGATGTTTCATTACTTTCCTTCTATAGCCTAAAAGTAAGTTTTTCTTCTTTTTGGACAGCACTTCCCTCTTCCAAGCCATCCCCCTCAAAGCGTCGCTGTTCAGATGAAAATGCTCTCCTTTCTGAAGAAGAAAACAAACAACCAGTGGCCTTGCATGTGACCGCCTCTGAGCCCATGACGGACAAGAAGCCACCCCTGGTGCCAAGCAGTGCTCATCCCATGCCCATGGAGCAAAGGTCTGCTCATTGTACACCAGAACCAGAGGTGCTGCCCACTCGACCTCCTTCAGACACTGAAAAGTTAATGCGCCCTCCTCAGTCTCCAGCAAAAAGCACAGATAAGCATGCTGCTCTAGATGGAGCCAAAGAGGCACAGAAAGATGCACCAACCCCAGGCATCTCCAGCATGAGATCTCGACTACAGAGACTGGCTGAGCAAAGGCAGTACTGGGACTCTGAAGGTAGGCAGCTCCCTCTCACATCCTGAATGCACATAACTTGGTTACATTCATTATATTGAGTTAAAAGCGATAAGCCCAATATATTGGTTCAGGTTGATTAAATGGTCTGTATTTGAAGCGACTGCATCAGCCATTTGTGCCATTAATAGCGGTTGACTGATATATCACCAGGGCTGATATCTGGCTTTTCTGTTCTGAAATAGAATAATAGAAAGGCAGACACTATACTTTTTTAAATATAACATGGCAGAATATAAGCAAACTTCAAATTACAGTAATTGTTATGAATGTATTATTGAATTGTGTGATATCAAATGCATCAGCTCGGAATAATAGAAAGGCAGACACTATACTTTTTTAAATATAACATGGCAGAATATAAGCAAACTTCTTCAAATTACAGTAATTGTTATGAATGTATTATTGAATTGTGTGATATCAAATGCATCAGCTCTATATCGGCCATTGGCTACCCTGCTCGATAAGATATCACCATCGACCATTAAAAAAAGCTGTATAAGTTGACCACTAGTCTTTAATGGAAGTCAGAATTTCAAAATCCACATTTCCTGTTTTTATATATTCTGAAGAAATAAAATATTATAAATAAGATGATCATTTAATAAAACAAAAGAGTATAATTTAATTAAAATAGACGAGTACTGTAAAACCTGTTGACCACTCTTTCAAATTATTGAAATTGTACTGTTTTTAGTTTTTAACATCAAGTGCAAGTACACATTTAAGGTCCACCAGAAGACAAAAATAGACAATATGTGATCGGAGTTAATAATATGACTCTTGGGGTGGCGAATAATCATCTAACTATGTATTAAACATAAAATTGTGCTTTCAGGGACCTCAGAAACAATCCCAGAGAGTGTAGTTTTATCTCCTCTGAAGTCTCACAAAGTGGATCTCCCTCCTGCTACTCCAACAAACTCTGAGCTCCCCGTTGGAAGAAAGGGTAGACTGGCGAACCTTGCTGCCACAATTGGTTCCTGGGAAGAT